CTAATTATTGTATTGTGGTAGGTGGTTCTATCAACCTATGTTATGCTTTATTATATTGTGATCATGAGTTGATGCCTTTTCCTAATATGTTATTATTGATTTGGTATTGTTATGACTTATTTGTGTACTTGTTATATAGTGGTGAGCTTTAATATGTGCTACAAATTTCATGTAATTATTTTACTCCTGGATGTTAATATATTTTTTATCGTCAAGTAATGATCTATTTAATATTATGCCTATTAATGAATTTTATGTTGAATCTTTTAAGCACGATAACAAATACATGTAAAATGTTTGTATTATTTAACTTGATCAATAAAGAGAGATTATGCCATAAAGTGTGGATGTACGTGATTGGATTGATTCAGATTTTTCAAATATCAAATCAAATCATTCGTGTTTGATTTTTAAATCTATAAATCAAATCAAACTAATAAAATTCGGGTTGTTCAACCTCGGATTGTAATCATACAAAAATATAATTAACTCGTGCTCCAAATATTTATCTAGTCCTACTAAAATACAACATTCTAAGGTATTTTATAAGAAAATAACACAAAATATGAGAGAGTGATGACACTAAAATATTCAACAAAAAATAATAATGAAATCGAATGAAATAAATATTGCAAATTATAAGTCATAATGAAAATGATTATAATTTAGAAATACTAAATTGTGCTAAAATAAGTATAATAAGTATTAATCACATGATTAAACATTAAAGAACAAATAAAATTAGGTTATATATTTTAAATGTCTAAACCAATGTAAAACTAAAGAACAAATATTCAACATTATTGTCATTCTTAGTGTTGAATCATTTTTTTTTGTTAGCACTCATATTGATTTGATTTTGATTGAGTTATTAATATCTTTGGACTATAGCCTTTATTGAACTATTCAATATTATAAGTCTCAAATATTAGAAATAATATGTAAAAAGATAAAAACTATGAAAAAGTATAAAAAAAAAATTTTGAAATTATTATTAAAGTAAATACTTTTATGTATAAAATATATTTTAAAAATTATCTATATAATGTCGAGTTGGTTTGGTCTCGAGTTGACTTTTTTCAGTTAAAACCAAACTGACCCAAGTAAAGTTGAATTTTTTTTTCAATACCAAAGCAAGTCAAACCAAATCATTAGTCAGGTTTTTTTTTACGATTTAACTCAGTTTGCAATTTGGTTCGATTTTCGATTCGTTGATGTCCCGGCATTTGACGATACGTTTGATGCTTTTATTTAGGAATAATTGTGAGTTCTTAAGCAAGGACAATGTCTTTTGATAGTTTTTCTACTTTGTTAGATGAAAATTCAATTAATGTGAGAAATAAAGTGAAATGGAGCTAAGGGTTGCAAAAGGAGAGCTTTGACGAATGCCTCAGACGTCATGCTTCAGATGACCCTCAAGATTTTTGCTTTCAATTTAAGATTTCAAATTTTCAGGAACTATATATAGCTATTTTTATTTTAGCATTTTTGTTTTTAGCGAAGATGACAATACCGCTTGAACAGAGTTTTAACAAGAATTATATTGGTTTATTGAATCAAAGTATTGCCACAAAGTAATCGGAAATAACTGCTGCTACTTTAAGGAATGAAAAATATAAATTATTCCTTAATTAATACTCCCTCCGTCCCTATTTAGTTGTCCATATTTCCTCTTTTAGTTGTCTCTATTTAGTTGTCCATTTTGACAAATCAAAAAAGGACAACAATTTTTTTCCTATTATACCCTTATTTAAAGTGAAAAGTTGTCATAAATAAAGTAAATAAACTTATGAACTTCTCAGCATTGATTAGTTATCTTGAGTGAATTTATTTTGGAAGTAAATTGTACTATAAGGGTAAAATTATAGTTTTACTATGCTAATCATTGTTGCCTTAATCTTTGTGTCATTTCTTAAGTGGACAACTAAATAAAGACGGAGGGAGTACATTAACAAATGCTAGAACTACTTTTAAGGAAGGATTTTTTTAAATCTGGTAATTAACTCATGAAAAAGGTTGTAATTACTTTTAAGGCATAAAAAATATTTTTAATCCTCAATTAATATGTACTAATTATTAAATGTATGTAAATGTGTTTTATATGTTATATTAAATGTGGACTATAATATACATCTGTTTAATGTAAATATAACTATAGATTTGTTCGTATATTCAGTTAAATATATTTGATCAATTAGATGTTTGCATTATAATGTATACACAATTTATTTTCATATTATGTTTGTGTATCCACTTGCAATACTCCAAACTTAGTATTAGACGTCCAATATAAGTTTACATATACATTTAGTATGTGGTGAACTTTGAAATCTATTGAAAATAAATTGTATACCTTAATTATATTTTATTTGTATACACTATTAGTATACATAAGTATATTTTGCAGCTATTGATATGTATGGATATATTAATTTTCGATAAATATTTAAATACATAAAATCATGTTAGTATACATACTTTCAACTACGTATACATTCAATTTGAAAATGTATACATTTAATTTTTCTTTCCAATAAATAAAATAATGTCTATAAAGAGAAAATTTTAAAAAGAAAATCCACTTTTTAAGAAAAATAGACGTGACTTTTGAATACCAAATAAAATGTTATTATTTTTTTTGCGAAAAAAATAAAAGCGATGTACTTTTTGCAAGTTAAATCTACAAGTTGTTATGCTATGCTAATTTTTTTCGTATTGGTAAGTGTTGACAGTAGTATAAGTCAGGTCGAAAACCTAGTAAAGTTTGTTATGAGGAGACCAATTGAATCAAGGCTTGATGCCTATAAATATATGACCAGGTCCTTTCTCATCTCCTCAACTTTAAGACAACCGCCAAGATTTAAAATACAAAACCTGTCAGTTATAGAAGAAGCAATGAGTGAAAGATAGAATCAAATGTTCCAAACTTTTGAAACGCGCTTTTACAACGATTTAACATGTATATATTTTAATCTCATTTTCTCGTGATCTTTTTAATTCATGTAATAATCAAATGACATAAATTAACTTACATAAGACACTACAACATATTTAAGATCAATATCAATATATACAAATAAACGAATATAATTTAAAAGATCGTGTCATGAATCATTTAATGGTGTTGAATCAAGCCTAGTTAAAAAGATATTTCCTACATAGCAATTGATTTGAACTCCTCCTTACTTCATTAAAATCATTCATTAATTTATGTTCACTTTCAATGAATATTTTTCAATTAAATATCAAATTTTACACTTGATAGATTTTTTTTGTGAGAGACTTTTGTGATATACTCAAATTTATTTGTGTGATTTATGATACATTACATTTTAGACTTTTCAAATTTCTACAAATTGTATAAGATTAAATAAAATTAAGTTTGATGTCTATACGATCTTGTTGTAAAATCTTGAAGAATCACACTTTTTTTTTTTTAAGGTTTGACTACAACACTATCTATAATAATATTTTGTTGATTAAAGTGTACCCCTCATGATTCAACAAACTTTTTTAATTTTAAATGAAGTGTCAAAAACTAATAAATATTTATCTTGTATAAAATTCAATCACACGTAGTGAGAAAAAAAATTATTTTCATTTTCTTCTGGCGTTTAGATAAACTCAAATACTTATCTAAAATCAAAGAAAATAAATATCAGCATCAATGTCATTCACCTTTTTAAATTATAGTAAAATTAGAGAAAATACGTAAAATACCCCTTGAATTTGACAATCAAATTTATTTTAGCACTTTAAGTTTATGAGTGTTTATCTACCTCCTTATTCATATTCTTAGTGAAATTAATACAATCCAAAAGTTAATGTGAAAAATAAATAAAATATAACAATAAAAATAACGCGTATGAAAAAAATCAAATAAATTTTTGTATGAATTTTTCAAATTCGACAAAATTTTATGGTCAAATAAATTTTAAAAAACTATTTTCGAGGACTATTAGGCGTTTTTCTCGAGATTTCTTCTCTTATTTATTTTTTATTTATTTTCCTCTTTTGAGTTTTTTTCACTATTATACAAATAATAATCATGGATTATATTAACATATTGGAAACTTCAATGAGCTAAATTTGATTTTTGCCTTACATTATAAACAAACTCATATATTGGATTTTCAAAATCAAATAAAATTTTATCATCAAATAAGTTTTTAAAATATATCCCAAGGATCATAGGCGTTTTTCTCAAAATTTCTTATCTTATTTTCATTTTTAGAACTTTTTCCTTTAAAAGTTTTTCCTATTAATATACAAAGGATCATGGATTTTATTAACATTTTGAAAACTTTAATGGGCCAAAGTTGAATTTTGCCTCACTTTTATAAACATTTTTTTAAAAAATAAAATTCTAAAATCAAATAAAATTTTATGGTCAAATAAAATTTTAAAATCTATTCCCAAGAACCATAGGCGTTTTCCTCGAGGTTTCTTCTCTTATTTTCTTTTTAAATCTTTTTCCTTTTTCGAGTTTTTTTCACTATTATACAAACAAGTATGAGTTCAATTAACATTTTAAAATTTTTAATGAATCAAAATTGCTTAAAAAAATTTTTTTGTACCAAATTTTCAATCATACAAAATTTTATGGTCAAATACTTTTTGAGAATCTATTCCCAAGGACCATAGATGTTTTTATCAATATTTCTTCTCTTATTTTCTTTTTATAATTTTCCTTTTTTGAGTTTTTCCCACTATTATACAAATAATTGTGAATTTAATAAATATTTTAAAAACTTTGATGGATTTTTTTTTTTTAATCTTTACCTCATCTATAAATAAATTTATGTAATTAAATTCTAAAAATTAGACAAAATTTTATGGTCAAATAATTTTTTAAAATTTATCTCTAAGAATCGTAGGCGTTTTTCTCGAAGTTTCTTCTCTTATTATACAAATCATCATGGGTTTTATTGACATTTTGAAAACTTCTATAGGCCAAATTGAAGTTTACCTCATCTTATAAACAAAAGTTGTGTATCCCCAAACTCTCACAAGCCACGCCCCTTCCCCTTTCTCTCTCTCTCTTCCCTCAAAAGGGCTTTTCCCCAATTTAAACTCTTCAAAAATTCCTCAATACACATAAATCTTTATCTCGCGTATGGCCTTTCACACAGCTTGCCCAATTACCTGGTACTACATTCTTTTATTTTTATGTATTATTTGATTATAATTTTGTTTATTTTTCTCTCTTTCTCTCTTTTATTATCACTCTTTCTCTTTACTCTCTCTTGTCTAGGCCAAGAATGCCAAATGGGGTTCTTTGTTTTATGGTTTTAAGTTGTTTACTGGGGTTTTTATGACCTATTGAGTGTTTCTGGAGGTGGGTTTTGGTGATTTTTTGGTGTAGAGGAGGATCTGTTAGGTTTCTCTTTCTCTTTCTTTATCGATGGATGTGAAATCGGGTTCTTGGGTTTGTGTTTTGTTGTTTTGTTTGGAATTTCTGACCCAATTGAGTGTTTTGGTATTTTTTGGTGCAGTCGAAAGATCTGCTTCTGCCCTCATGGGTTCCCGAAGGGTAAAAATGAGTTCTTTGGAGATGTGACTAAGCTTGAGGAGTTTCTCAAGGACCCATGGGGTCTTAAGGCCAAACAACCTGCTACAATTCAGGTTAAGGTGCCCAAGCTTAATGTTGCTCCACCCCCACAGGCGCCTGTAGGTGATGGGGGAGGTGGAAGCGGCGGGGATGGTGAGGAGGCGGCTGCTATTGCTTCAGCTCAGACTAAGCGTGTTGCTTTGCAGAAAAAAGCTGCTGCTGCATCTATGGTGGCTGAGGATTTTGCTAGACGATTTGAGTCTGGTGATGTGGAGGTTAGGAACCGCAGTTCTAAAAAACGTAGATTTGCATGAATTTGAATGTGGAATGTGAAAATTGTGATTGTTAAATCAATTGACTTCTCTGTTGTCCTATTTATCATAGTCAGGATACTGACATAGATGGTTGCTGAGAAGATCTGTTTTCAGATCACTTGTCTGTTTATATTTCATGTGGATTGTATGCCATGACTATTGTGTTTCTTTTTATTTTAATGCTGGCTTGTTCTGTTGAGGGAGAAAATAATTTATGTGGCCCACAAAGGTATAGATATTCTGGTTTGTATGAATGATTTTAGGGTACTTGATAATTTAACTCCATTTACATTTTAGACTCTTAAGTGTTTGTATAGTATTCCACTATAGGAGGAGAAAAGATACAACAGAATATTTAGCCTGTTCTGATATCTTATCTCAAAAGAGAATGAATTTTCATGGTGCTTCCTACAGGATTGAGAAAGATTTTTCATGGTGCTTCCTATAGGATTGAGTAATTTATGGGTTAGTCAGTTGGACAACTCTTCATAGAGCAATCTGAAAGTTCCTTTTCTTAAGGTTGTCTTGAGTGAGGCAAGCTTCATTAAGAGTTGTCCAACTGAAGCATATGATCTTTGTTAGGAGCTTAGTCTTCCATATCAACTTCCATGGCCAGTTATCAAACACTTCATTAGGAGCATATGAGATTGCATAGCCTGCTTTCACCGAGTATCTACTACCTTGTCACTGCCCCACTTAACTTGTCTGCTTCCCAGACATTTATCACCTGGCCTTCTAGCCTAAAAAACAACTTGACCACTTCTTTGATTTCCTAGTCTTGTAGGTTCCTTAATAGTACATTCCAGGTGTTGTCTTCTCTATTCTGAGAGATGGAGGAATTTGGTTCACATGCTATTTGAAAGAGACATGGGAATTCCTCCATCAGAATGATATTGTCCATCCACCTATCCTTCCAAAACTTTGTATTATATCACAGTAGTACATTTAAGTTATTTGGCTATAATGACTTGAGAGTGTGAGAATGTTCTATGAAGTGGACAACTTTAGACATAATGTTCTAAGTTTTTTGTGGTTGATGTATTGCAATAATTAACATTAATATCAACATAAAACCCCGCATAACATAATCAAGCAAAGGGTCGTTTTGTAGGGTGTATAAAAATAATGCTAAATAGAGTGTATTAGTAATGCTTGCATTAATTATACATAGATTGTTTCTTATGCATTGCTTGGTTTGGTGGATTAAAAATAGCATGCATTGCATAAAAATATTTATTTATAAAGATATCCTCCACAATAACCATGCTAATGCATGCATTTTATCCCCTTGCATTACTAATACCTAGAAATTCATGGTATTAGTAATGCACACTTTAATACACAATGGAGTGTATAACTAATACAATCATTTCTAATACACAGAGCTAATGCATGTATTGTATTTGTTAGTACACTCTACCAAACAACCCCTAATTGGTTGGCCACATGAAAAAAGTTAATCAAAGTATAACAAATACAAAGTTTGGTTGACGGCATTAGAGATCCAATCAAATATTGGTGATGAATCCCTCTCCCCCTCTCTTCTCTTTTTTCCCTAAATAATACCTGCATTAAGTTGTGTATGAAACGGTTATTATTTTATATGGAATAGAATGTGGAATAAGAATACATATATTCGCAATGTGGGGATTAACCCATCCCAATACAAAAATTCCCTTTTAAAGTAAGTAATTCATGTATAACAATCTTCTTGCTATTAATGACTGCATTAACAATCCCATCATTGTTAATCACCATATAAACAATTCCTCCTCACATAACTAGCATGCCAACCAAGTGACCCGTAAAAGTACAGGTCTGCTAGTGCTCCAAACAGCAGTGGTCTAGAAGTCATTTGGATTTAAAATCTCAACAATGGTTGGGATGTTTCTTTTGTCGTTCCTCAAATTCAACCAAATAGATGTTGTCACTAACCAGCAGAATTTTCATATTCTAAAGGTGCACTGTTACTGAACATGTAATAACCCCTTTTCATTACTCATTCTACTGATGTTCATTTCTTCTCCTCTTGGGGGTGTGGAGGCTGGGAGCTGGAATCATAAATTGTTACATGATACCATTCAATCTTTTTATTTACAAATAAATATCTGCCCTCAGGGCTCCATGAAAGATGTTGGTGGAGAAGAACAGGGTCTATCGAATGTCAAAGTGATGTGTAGGCTATGCTTTTCCGGTGAAAATGAAGGAGGTGAAAGAGCAAGGAAAATGATGTCATGCAAAAGTTGCGGGAAGAAGTATCACCGAAACTGCCTGAAAGCTTGGGGTCAACATAGAGGTACTTTTATAGGCCACAAGATTTGTCAGTTTTTAGTGTTGGTACTTTTGCTAATATGCCCCTTCCTACAGATCTCTTCCATTGGAGTTCATGGACATGTCCGTCATGCCGGCTTTGTGAGGTAAAACTTTTGATTCATTTCAATAAAATGATAAAACATAGTTGATTTTGCTTTTTAATAGCTGCCCAAAACGTGGCAATTGTACTATGAGTTGCTTTCTTTTTCTTTTTTGAGAATAAGAAGGTCAAAGCTAATTCGACAAGACATTGACTTTTATTACCTAACAAAATGGAAATAATAAATTAATCAGAGATATTAACTGATGCCCTAATTTTCTTTGCTAGCCATATGTAACAACCGGAGGTTTTCATATTTAGGCATTTTTGGTTCTAGCCTGCTGCCTAGCCCTATGATAGGTCACCCATGTCAGTTTTGACTCACAAATCTTGGGTTAGGTACACTGATTAAAAATAAGATCCTGGCAAAGGCGATGTCAAAACTACGGAAAGAGGTTTTTTTCAACATCTCTGTCGGCATGGACAGTCAATTGAGAAAAAGATATTGCTTTTAAGTTAATGATCTTAAATGGATCCGTCTATATGTGTATGGTGTACAACAGTCAATGGAGATAGTGAAACAAGTAGCATTTGACCCATGGCCCACTTATACGCAATCCCATTAGCCACTAATCATACACTTGCCATATCAACTATCCTTTGTCCTGTAAGAAACAGGGTAAGACTACTTTCCGCTAGATCAAGTGGACCCAATTCAGATAAGCACCATGTCAAAGCTAATTAGCTGCAAGCGATAATAGCTTATAATGATAAACCCATGTTGAAACCCCAATCCCTGGTTGTGAGAAGTTATTTGATGACACTAGATGATTTCTTGGGTTGTTAGACAGTTACCTAGAAAGTGGGCTGGTGGAAGGTACCTAGTGGAATTAGTTGAAGTCCCTGCAAGTTGGTCGGGGCGCCACAATTATTTAAAAAGAAGTCATTTAATGTGAAATGAGTCACTATTGGTTAGATTCATCAAACACATGAAATTACCTAAATAAATGAATTTAGTACTTATAAGATCAAATAGTGATTAACATCATTATTTTCAGTACCTGTTATACAACAATGACTATATATAAACTCAATACATAAACTGAAGTAGAAATAAAATAAATTTCAACAAGGTCACAAAATAGTGATGGTCAATAGCAGCATTGATTTTAGATTCTCAATAAATTAACTATAAAAAGAATTAATCAACTATAAGAAGAATTATTTTGCAGCATCCAATTTCATATTAAATTGCTTTATAAACTATACATAAAGTTGAAAGGGAAGCAAAAAGAAGCTCAAAATTAGCAGTAGTTGAAGATGGGGACTTGCATACAAGGAAAGTGTCATCTTTGAAGAAGAAAAATGAAAAAGAAATTTTAAGGATATACAGAATCCTTGCCTTACTACATAGACAAGTCAATCTGGTTGATAATTTCGATGTTTGGAGGGAGAGAGGGGGGAGGGTTGGAAGCAATGGTATGTTCTTTGATTCCAATGTTTGGAGGTGGGGTTTGGAAATAATGGAATGTCCTTTGTAAAGTCCTTTCATGAGAAGCTATTGGTTAGGGAGGAGATGACCTTTTCCATATAGCAATATGGATCTCAAGGGTGCCGAGGAAGGTGCGCATTGTTTGCGTCAGTTGGTGTTACATGTGTATGGTAGCGGGTGAGGAACTGTCCCTATCGAGTAGGATTATAAATGAAACTATGGGCTGGTCTTTTTTTTTTTTTAAGTATTCTTTTGCATAAAGAAACTCTTCTGTTTGATAATTGGACTTGCATTCTGGATCATTCTCTTGTGATTATTGCATTTTTGGCTATTTGATGTCTATGTCGTTGTTCAACTCATGTTCTTATGCTCACTATATTGCTCATATATACTGACTGTATGTATGCTCCTTGTTTGGTCATTTGGTGTAGGGCTGTCGAAGAACTGGAGATCCAAACAAGTTCATGTTTTGCAAAAGGTGTGATGCAGCTTATCACTGTTACTGTATGCAGCCTCCACACAAGGTTGATTCTCGTGTCTTACTCTTTCAGTTTTGTATAATGATAAAAGTAGATTATACTTAGTTGTTTTTGGGATGTGCAGAACGTCAGCAGTGGGCCTTATTTATGCCCCAAACACACGAAGTGTCACAGCTGTAGTTCTAATGTTCCAGGAAACGGACTGAGCGTGAGGTATGTAGTATGGGGCCATGAGCAGCTAGTGGGACATTCTCTTGTATTCAAGTTTTGCTGTTAATGTTAATTGAACACTCTAATTAACTCCATTTCAGTTAAAATGCTTATTCATGTACTTCTCTATGTTGTTTTTTCTGTATCTTCACAGAGGAACATCATGTAGGAGTTCCGGTTCACCTTATATATTCTGATAAGGGCTTTGAAAGCAATATAACTCAGTTCTCTAGTTTTTGGCTTGCCTGTAGCACCGTGAATTTTCCACACTAATGTCTTTTTGAGATTCCAAATACAAATTATTGCAATAGCATAAAATAATATTGTGTGCTGCATGTGATGTATGGAAATCATTCAAGGCATTGCATATCCTATGCAAATTATTTAATGCTTTGCATATCCTATGAAAATCATTTAAGGCATTGCATTTTCTATTGCCTCTGAACTATTGATATCTTGATCTCTGGCAGGTGGTTTTTAGGATACACTTGTTGTGATGCCTGTGGAAGATTATTTGTGAAGGGAAACTACTGTCCTGTTTGTTTGAAGGTAGATGTTATGGTGGTTTTTATTATCTGAGATTCTCTTTGTTTAATCTTACAATGAGGTTCTTTGTACTATGGTGGTTTACTTATGCGGCGTAGCAAATTTGTCGGCTAGTACTACGTGATGTCTTTTGCTTTCATTGCCTTTCCTAAGCAACTGAGTATTTTTCTTCTCATGTTTTTATGGGGAATGCAATTAATTGTTTTATATACTGTAGGTATATAGAGATTCTGAATCAACCCCTATGGTCTGCTGTGACATTTGCCAGCGCTGGGTGCACTGCCAATGCGATGGCATCAGGTTTACCTTAGATATTGCTTTTAATATTATTACTTTATTGGTTTTGCTTTGGTGCCTTTCTCTTGAAGTGCAATTTTATTTCTTAATATGGGGGCAAATATGGATGTGCATTACGTTAAGACTTTTCTGTTCTGGAATTAAATATCACAAATTTATTATTGACAGTATCCTGTACCTTTTATGGCGTTCTTGCAGCAGATTTTGCTATGTTAACATGTGGAAAGGGTTTCCAAGAATAGTCTCATCATTCCCCATTGACTTTTATTGCTTCATTGAATAATTGAATGGCATTTTGGGACTGCTGTTTATGCTACATAACTGAATGTGCATTACGTTAAGACTTTTAATTTAAATTTTCTAGAGATTTGATAGCATTGCAATCTCGGGCTCCTTCTGTTTGTAACTCCAGCTATTTAGATACTAAACAAAAAAAGTCCCCTTCAATTATTTAGGATCTGTACATTTTTGTACTCTGTCAAGGGGGAAGTTGGATCTTTTAAGAGGTGCCTAGCGCTTTCCTCAATATGAAAGAGGAAGCTTCTGGTCTGTTTTACATGAGTTGAAGTGAGTGCTTAAGGGGGATAAGCTTCAGTGGGCTAGGTAATCGGCTAACTTGGAATTCATTTTTAGAGCCAAGTCCCAAGGAGGCAGGTTTAACCTAGCACGAGAGGTACTTTCAATTCACACAATGGGTCATCGCGCTTGGTCGAAAAGCAAGTGACGCGAAGCTACCGTGTGCTGCATTATGACTGAAGCCCTCTACCCTTCAACTATTTAGGATTTGTCCTATTTTGGTAGGAAAAAGATTAGAACTGCTTCACAGATATGGCAACTGAGTTCATTAGAAGGGTTAAATTTTGGCAAGGAGAACTGTTATCCATTGGAGGGTCAAGGGCCTTTCAAGATCTTGATTAACTTATGACAGATCGTTTCAAACAATGGCATACAATTGGCATTATGAACATTTTGTATAGTATAATTTGTTGATAGTTGTGGAGGAAGTTAATTTGTCTCTAAAAGAATGTCACAATTTTTATAATTGGAAACAATTTAACTTTAGAATTTTCCCTTTCAGCCTTAATGAAATGATTTATAGTCATACAAATGGTAGGCCACAAATTTCAAAAGTCGTGATGACATAATGTGTTGGCTTGTTAATCTTTCATTGACTAGATGAATTGTTTGTTGGAAATTGGAAAGATGCAAATGGACGGATCAATTATATTTGATTCTAATGAAGAGAAGTCTTTTATTATATTTGAGTTAATTTTTTTTGGAGCAATTCAGAAGATTTACATTTCTCTCTTAAATGAAGAATTCGAAAAAAATAATCCAGGAATTGTTATTGAAATGATTTTTTTTCCTGGAATAGTTATTGAAATGAATTAATATGAGTAAATATAAAATTTAATTGAACAAGAGAAACAAAGAACTTGGACTTTTTTTGTGTCTCTTAAACTCGAATTAAGGGAAGTATTTCCAAGAATATTCTCATCATTCCCCTTGACTTTCATTGTTTCATTGAATGATTGAACGACATTTTAGGAACTGCTGTTTATGCTGCATTCTGCCTTGTTAAGAGTCGAGTCAGTTGACTGGGCGCTAGTTCTGATTTCCAGAAAGCTCCTCTTCTTCCCTTCACTATATAAATATCCTGACATCTTTGTGGCTTGCCAATTTGTTCTCTTGTCATTCATGCGATATAAAGCTGTTAACTTATGCAACCTTGATTGTACCTTCCACTGAAGCTTTGAGAGAGGGACTCCATGGGAACTTTGAATTTGAAAATGGGTATTTTCTTTGCAGCGATGAAAAATATTTGCAGTTTCAAGTGGATGGAAATTTGCCTTATGCTTGTCCAACATGCCGCGGAAATAGTTATCAGGTTTGTTTACGGCAGTGATTAATTTCACTATAAAAGTTAAACGAGAACTCTATCATGATAGTTTTCTATTAATGTTCTCAGGTGAGAAATCTTGAGGATGCTGTTCAGGAGCTTTGGAGGAGGAGAGATGTAGCTGATAAGGATTTAATTGCAAGTTTGAGGGCAGGAGCTGGGTTGCCAGTAGAAGATGAAATATTTTCTATTTCACCCTTTTCAGATGATGAAGATAGTACTCCTGTAGTAAAAAATGAACATAGTCGATCTTTGAAGTTTTCTCTTAAAGGTTTAGTTGACAAATCTCCCAAAAAGAGCAAGGAATATGGAAAGAAATCTTCTTACAAGAAATATGGTAAAAAGAAGGGGTTAACTGGACCAAATGAAGGACACCCTGATGCTCCATCAGGTGGATATAGTGCTGGTGATGTCAAGAATGAAGAATTGCAGGCTTATGGGGAATTGGATAGCTTTTCTTCTCCTGTTGGTAGCTTGACAGAAGGTATATGTTCAATTAATCAGGCAGGGGTCATAAAGCACAAATTTATAGATGAGGTTACTGGAAACACGGGTAAGAGGACAGTCCAAATGAAAGGTAGCAAGCCTCAACGTTTGGATGAGGATGATGTTGGAATTCAAACAAGCATGCCAAAGACCTCTAAGGGGCCAAAGCTTGTTATACATTTGGGCTCGCGGAATAAAAACATAGCAGGTTCCCCGAAGTCCGATGCTTCAAGCTGTCAGAAAGAGCAAGATTTGACTACTTCAAATGGTAATTTTCTTTCTATATATTGTCTTCGGGTTCCTCTTTCTTTCCAATTTCTTACTTGGATGAATCTTGTCTACAAACTATGCCTTCTCCCTAGAATTTGATGTCTGTAAATATTCTTTTCTACTAGTTTGCGTCACTTATGACACAAAAGCTATGGTTTTCTAAATTGTTGTCTCATCCAGATAAAAGGTTCCGCCAGTGAGAAAGATGTATATAGTTTTCCTCTGTGCATTATTATTTCTTGGTGATTTTCTTCTATGATTGGTAAGACTTCATATATAAGTTTCCCTATGGCTTTAAATGTTAAGAGCGCATCGCGTGATATGTGGATTAAGTGCAATTCGTTGGTTCAAACCCTGCTGTCGACAAAGGCCTATTTTAAGTGAAGAAGAGTAGATGGGCGCGCTCATTTTCCCCACAGTTTTGAACCTTATGTCACTGGCCATCGAGGATTTCTTGTTTTAAAGGAAGGACATATAAGTTGGCTAAGGAATATCATGAAATGCCATGATTCTTGGGTTGCTTTTTGTTAGTAGAAGTCATAAATATTTCTAATATACTTGGTTAAAAAGAATAGACATATAAGTTGGCTAAGGAATATCATACAGTACCGTGATTCTTGGGTTGCTTTTTGTTAGTAGAAGTCAAAAGTATCTCTAATGTATGTTTTTGCAATGCATTTTGTTTTAGATAAAAAACTAGCATGGCTGTAAACTTATGCAGCATATTTCTTCTCCTTTCCTTGGTTAATTGGTTGCTTATTTGGCATATGAAGACTGTGTGCTTTGGTAATCATGTGAAATGATGTTTGTTCTTATTTTTTATTTTTTTTTGCTTCTTCTTGACCTAAGTGAGAAATTCTTGTGAAAGTAAAGCAAATGGAAGGTGTGTGTGTGTATATATTTAGTACAATAAAGGTGACATGACATGTATATTTAGTTTTCTTTGGTCTGGTAATGAAAGATCTGTTCTGTGCCTGATTAAATTCTCCAATTCTTGTTCTGCTATGGTGTTCCTTCTCTAATTTCTATGCTACATTAGTTGAGATTCTTTCCTCTGCGTGAATACTTGCATCTGTTCAATACTCTATGCTACATTAGCTTCAATACTCCATGCTCTGTTCTTATATGGTGTAGATTCTCTACTTTTTGGTATACCTCTTGTATATGGTATTTTCCCAACACTAACAACATTATTTATCTTTTCAAAAAATATTCTTAGATGTACTTCTTTGTTAATCAGGTAGTGAGGATCTAGTTCAGCTGAGAGAGAATGAGAACTCGGAAAGGAATGACACTGCAGCTAAACTTGGTGGTGGAAAAGGTAAGACGTGTTGTAAATTGTTTACTTTCTATGTTGGGGGTGGGGAAAGAAGATAATATTGTATTTGTTGCTTTTAGGACCATACTTTTGGTGTTCTATTAATAACTTTTCTTTTGGCTCTCGTTTCTGTGTCTGAAGGACATAAGGTGGATCATATGGACCAAATAAAGGGTCAAAATCATAGGGGTAAAGAAAGCAACTTAATAAAGATCAAGAAAGTTAGCTCAGAAGGTACTAATTTGCCTGCCAAAGTTGGTGGAAATTTTGCCGATGGATCTGGACCTTATCCTCCAGTCAAGACTTTTGGTATAATAGGAAAAAGAAGCAATGACGGTAGTGTTATTACAAGGGCTGGAGCTGAAGTTCCTGCTACAAGGGACAACAAATTGGCTTCTGTAAAACATGCTGAAGCTGGGCCCGCTTCTTGTGATGACCTGAATGACGAGAAAAATAGCACACCTTCAGTATCAAATTCAACGAGAAAGGATCCAAAACCTCTCCTAAAGCTCAAGTTCAAGAATCCTTACCATGAAAATCAAAATGCCTGGGCTTCTCCGGGAGAGGAGGATAAAAGCATGGTTAAGGGCCAGAGGTCTAAGAGAAAGAGAGCACCAACCTTTGGAGAAAAAGCATCAACCAGGGCAGATGATAATTCATCACAGCGGTATGAAGACAATACAATGGATGAGTTCTTGGATGCTAACTGGATACTGCAGAAGTTGGGAAAAGATGCAAAAGGAAAGCGAGTGGAAGTTCATCATTCGTCTGATAATACCTGGTAAGCTAATTGTCACATCAAGCTGACTACTATGCATACTTGAAATTTATGCAACTTTAATGGAAATGCGTGCTGTGATATTCTGGATTAGTAATCATGATAGCGATGAGAAAAGGGCAATTAATAGAGCAAGTGGATTGCATTGGAATACAAGGATAAAAAAAAAGGAACACATTATGTAGTTACAATTTTCATTTGGGATTTTAACTATCAAATAGATGAGTATTCATATAAATAAGTACCATACTTTCTTTGATGTGTGCTAGTTTGACCTTTCAATTCATTTTCTTTTTCAGGCATAGAGGGACAGTCGTAGAAGTCTTTGAAGGGTCATCGGTTGTGTCTGTTGCTCTTGATGATGGGAAGAAGAAGAACTTGGAACTTGGAAAGCAAGGAATACGTTTTGTATCTCAGAAGCAAAAACGTTGATTGCTATTAAAATTGGTTATTAGATGCAGCATATTGCGACTTCTGATACCAAGAGCATGAACAACTGCTGATTCCTAGAGTTGTTCTTCTTTGGTGGACTCTTAAGGAAGTAACTGATCATTGCAGGTCGAATTTCAAGATTACTGCTCCCTGCATCATGTGTTAGCTAACCTTTGCTTACCAGATTTACATGTAAGGTCGTTGGTTGGTTCTGTTTTATTGTTACCTTTTGTTTCCCAGTGTACAGATTCTCTTTGTGGTCAGAGGTAGAACACAGTTGTTGAGCCTTTTGGTGTTACTTTAGATTAATCTTTGCTGGATTTGCAGTTTTAATGTAAAATTTCTAGAGATTAGAAAGTTCTGTTCCTACTGGTTGTAACTCAGGGTAGATGAGATTTTTATACTTATTGAAACACACGCAGTATCACTCTACACTTTCTGAAATTTGTGATCAAATCACTTTGTATCATTGTATCGGTATATTAGTGTGTTATTCGATCCTAAATTCAAACTAGAAATATTTCAGATACAATCTTTATATAACTTAAATAATCATTATATTTCTAGATTATATAACTGGTCAAAAATAATGTTGACATCAAACTGATAAATAATTTTTTGTTGGGTACGCATTTATATTTTCTAAATAGTAACTCACATTTAGGAAATTTTCTAGTAATATTACTTTTGTTTCTTTTAGGACTATAATATCACCATGTTATTTTTATTTTCCTCAAAATATATTAACAAGTAAAAATATCCTTATCTCGCCTTATGAGATGAAATGTCACATTATTCTTTTTTTTTCTAAATAATATTTTTTTTAGCTCTTTTAAACTACCCACATCTTATACCCGATAAAAGATTATTATAGAGTAGCAAAACTTTTTTACCTTAGCTCCCTTGGATTCTGAGGCAAAATCCAATATGAACTCCACTAGTACTTGAATAGTTATAATTCATTTATCTCGTAATACATGTTTGATTTCATTTTTCGAGAGTCAAACTATTTAAATGATATTTTAAGATATATTATTTTATCATATTGATATTAGAACAATTACAATTTATAATATTACTAAATAATTTTCCAAATGTGAATGACTATTCACTTAATTTATTTCAAAATATGGTGAAGGTTTTTCCAAGATATCATTAATGATATTCTTATCACAATATCAATTGTGAAATAATTTTAAACAATGAAAAGTTATATACTCATGAATAGATTTCAAATTTTATTGCCTTAAATTGATCCAATCAAAATATGTTTGTGTAAACATAAAATATATTTTTAAGCACCATAAAATAATGACAGAAATATATTTATCTTTATTTGGATCTCGATTTAATGTTTGTTATTATCTTTAAAGATGTCTACCATATCTATCACGTCAGATGTATTTCAACATAAAAAATTCAAGATGAATATTATTTTTTGCCTCATATATTCGGTGCAATATATTCATGCTTAGAAATTTATTAAATTAAAATTAAGAAAACGAAAGAAGCAAAAAGGTATATATAAATATAGAGAGACTATTTTATTCGTTTTGCCTTCTCCAACGGCCACTGGATTCACCTCAGAAGTAGCTACATCATCATCTCTCTGCTTCCATGTAAAACCCTAAACCCTATTTTCCTTATACATGTTTTTTCATATTCTTCATTCTTCTTAGTTATTGGTATTAATTTTGTGCTTTTCCCTTTTTTTTTTTTTTTTTTTTTTTTTAGTTTTTGTTGTTTCATTCTCGAGTTCCTAATTTCTGTTTGTTCTAGTCTTCTTCTTTTTTTCCATCGAGAACCTCATAATTAAGATATTTTCCTGTTCTCACTTTTTTTTGGGGGTGAAAGTATTCAGTGTAGTAATGGGGTGTTTCTGAGATTTTTGATATCTGGAATATGATTAAGATACTAAGCAATGGAAAAAATAGGAGAAGTTGTTTAGGTGCTATTTTATTTTGGTGGAAGCTGGAAAAGGTAGATTATAGGGAGAAAACATAGGAAGATCGAATTTTTATGAGTTATTTTTTCTAGCAATACGTAATCCAATCCATCTCTTTTGACATTATCTGAATGAGCATGGATTGTACAACGTTTAACTTTGACTCGTCTAATATATGAGTGGCAGATAAAAATACCCAAGTGATTGTTAAGAAATTAGTTTGAGAGAAAACCAATGTATCCAAGTTTAATTTATCAGGGATGTAAAATTTTGAAACTTGTGATAATTGTATAAAATAATGACCTATCTGCCCTAAATTGTGTGATACTCCTACTTTGGATGTTCTAAAATGTTACACTATTCCAGTTTTGGCATTATTCTATAAGTTTCACAAATTTCAAGAATCTAATTCCTTTTAATATTCAAATTTTAAATTTGGATTTGATTTTTTTATTTCAGACTCTCTAAAAAAACCCTTGATTTTTACCCAATTATTGCAAATATTATGTACAAGTCAAATTTAACTTATTTAACTCTGAGAAATTAGAATAAGAAGAAGAAGAAGAAGAAGAAGAAGAAGAAGAATAAGAAAAAGAGGAGGAGGAGGAGGAGATATTGGGAATTGAATTCGTTGATTATTTTCTCATGTTGATGGAATTGAATAGTTGTTACGAATAATGTAAATAAGGAAAGAAACTAATAAAATATTACATAATCTGTTTAACTGCCTAATTGAAGGGATTAGAGAATATCCTCATATCTACACTATCTAATTATACCATCTTTAGGACTTTTCACAGGTCCTTGGGTGGTGGCGGGAGATTTTAACACCGTTAGATTTCCTTCAGAAAAGAAGAACTGTTCAAGATATAATAAAGCCATGAGGGATTTTTCAGAGTTCATCGAGGATATGGAGCTAGTGGACTTACAATTAGCAGGGAACAAGTATACTTGGAAGAAAGGGGAAGGCCATGATGCTGCAGCCAGACTAGACAGATTTTTGATTTCTGAAGCTTGGGAAAACTCTTTTAGGAACATCAAGCAATCAGTCCTACATAGAGTAACATCGGATCACTGTCCCCTAATTCTTGAATGTGGAAATTGGGAGAGATCAATTTCTTTCTTCAAATTCGAGAACTGGTGGCTGCAAACAGAAAATTTCAAGGAGAAAGTAAAGTTATGGTGGGAATCTCACCATTGCAGAGGCAGACCAGATTATATTTTAGCTGACAAACTAAAATATTTGAAAGGCAAGCTAAAAGAGTGGAGTAGGACTAGCCAAGGCAACCTGGGACTACAAAAACAGAGTATCCTAAGTCAGTTGACAGAGCTTGAGGTAATACAAGACCAGAGACAGTTATCTGATGATGAGATCTATCTAAGAACAACTCTCACTGTGGAGTTTGAGGAAAATGCAAAAAAGGAGGAGGTCGCGTGGAGACAAAGGTCCAGAGCTATATGGTTGAAAGAAGGTGACAAGAACACACAGTTTTTTCACAGAACTGCAAACTGTCACAAAAGATATAATAATATAGACAAACTTCTGGTGGATGGTGAGTGTACAGGGGACTCATTAGTGATCAGGGAGGAGATTGTCAAATTTTATCAGAAGTTGTATACAGAATCAGAGATATGGAGACCTCAATTCAATCATAGATCAGGTGTTGTTATCAGCGAAGAAGATAACTTAATGCTAGAAAGTCAATTTAGTGAGGCTGAGATCAAAGAATGTGTGATGGCATGTGCGAGGGACAAGGCACCTGGGCTGGATGGATTCACCATGGCATTCTTCACCAATTGCTGGGAAATAGTAAGCAAAGAAGTAGTGGCAGCAGTTCAGAACTTTCATAATCAGAACATTTTTGAAAGAAGCTTCAATGCCACCTTCATAGCCTTGATCCCAAAAAAATTGGGGGCCAAAGAACTAAAAGACTTTAGACCTATTAGCTTAATAGGTAGCATATATAAGATCATCTCAAAAGTGTTGACTGAGAGGCTGAAAAAAGTTGTTTCAAAACTGGTAGATACACATCAGATGGCATTTATTAAGGGCAGGCAGATCATGGATGCTATTGTGATTGCCAACGAATGTGTAGATGTGAGGCAAATTAGCAAGGTCCCAGGCATTCTTTGTAAGCTGGATATAGAGAAAGCCTATGACCACTTAAATTGGGGTTTCCTATGGAAGACTTTGGAAAACATGGGTTTTGGGGAAAGATGGATAAACTGGATCAAATTTTGCACCACTACAGTGAAATTTTCAGTTTTGATTAATGGCTCTCCCACAGGTTTCTTCTCATCTGAGAGAGGCTTGAGACAAGGGGATCCATTATCTCCTTTTCTCTTTATCTTGGCAATGGAGGGTCTCAATGATATGCTAAGAACAGCCCAGACAAACAGCTGGATAAGGGGTTTCAATGCAAACATGGGGGATAGACAGAGTCTAGCTATCTCACATCTCCATTATGCAGATGACACGCTAATATTCTGTGATGCAGACATCAGTCAACTGAAGTTTTTAAGAATAATATTGATATTGTTTGAGGCAACTTCAGGTCTACACATTAATTGGGGCAAAAGTTACATCTATCCAGTCAATGAGGTACCTAGAATTGACAGTCTGGCAAATATTCTGGGAGGAAAGATAGGGGAGCTGCCCACAATATATTTGGGAATGCCTCTAGGAGATAAGAGCAAATCAAAAGGCATATGGAACAATGTACTGGAGAAAAGCGAGAAGAAGCTTGCCAATTGGAAAAGTCAGTATTTATCCCTGGGTGGCAGAGCTACTCTCATCAACAGTGTTCTTGATGCTTTGCCTACCTACATGATGTCGGTGTACCCTATGCCAGCAAGTGTAAGAGACAAATTAGATGCCATTAGAAGAAATTTTCTTTGGCAAGGAAACTGCGATCCAAATAAGCATAAGTTTCACTTGGTCAAGTGGAATGAAGTTTTAGTCAGCAAGAAAGAAGGGGGACTAGGAACAAGGAATCTGAAAATACAAAACCACAGCCTGCTAATGAAATGGCTGTGGAGATTTGCATCACAAGAACAGTCGCTGTGGAAAGACACCATTAAGGCTAGATATGGAATGGAGACAAGGTGGATCAGCAACATAGCAACACAACCATATGGCACCGGAGTGTGGAGGACAATCAGGAATCTATGGCCAAAACTTATAAACAAGTGCACAATCAAGATAGGAGATGGTGGAAAAACTCTATTTTGGGAGGAAGTTTGGGCGGGACAATCTTCACTCAAAGCTAGTTTCCCTGACCTATTCAGCTTGAGTCTACAGAAAGTGGCCACTGTCAAAGAAATGAGAGATGCTCAAGGTTGGAATTTAAAGTTCAGAAGACCTTTAAATGATTGGGAGGTGAATGGAATGGTTGAATTTCTAAATGTTCTGGAACGATACAAGGAACTCAGTAACAGAGAAGACAAACTGCTATGGGCTCCAGATACACAGGGGAGATTCTCAGTTGGAACAGCTTACAGAAACTCACAGAGGACACACACTCAATCAAGCTCTACTGGCCATGGAAAATGATCTGGAAAGTTAAGGTGCCCTTCAAGGTGGCCTG